ATCCATCCATCCATCCATCCATCCATCCATCCATCCATCCACCCTGCTATCTATCTTAAATTTTAATCTTGTCCTTTTGACTATTTGTAAATATATCAACCATATTCCATTGGTGATGAACCTATGGCAGAGGTGGCATGCAGAGCCCTCTGTGGGTGTGCACACCATTGCCCCAGCTGTTTTGAGTCTCTGCCACGCATGCACGTGCACCTCCCACCAGCCTGCTGGTCTTCGGGTCTCTGCAGTGCATGCGCCCATGCCTTGTAGTTTGGGTAGGATGTGAACTTTGGGCACGGTGCCTAAAAGGTTTGCCATCACCTTAGTGAAGGATAGAATATTCTGTTACTTCTTGCTGTTACTCATTTATTTATCACCCTATATTTTCCAGATATTATTAGCACTGTTACATTTTTGGTTATTTTGTTGTATCTTCTGATCATTATATCTACACACATGTGTGCACAGACACACATATACACAGATGCTTGCTTGCTTGTTTGTATTAGGACTACCAAAACCTCTGATTCTAAGCAGTTTCATATATACTTTTAAATTATTTTATTCTAAATCCAATGTCTGATCATCCTCCTTAATATTTTGTCAGAGATTAGGCTGGCAATGATCAGAAGTGAAAGAAAATTTAACAATCAAAAATAATGCAAATAGTAAAGAAAATTGCTCAGAAGTCCCAAAGAAAATCCCTTATGAAGGCTGAAACAATCTTCTATCTATAGTAGACATACATAACAGCTCACTCCAGTATTCTGCCAAGAAACTAGAACAATGCCAACATATAATCAGGAGATGAACCTCCATCTCAAGAGCTACAGCAGGGTAAACGCAAAACAATTATCATTGGTGGTTATGAATGTGGCTGGATTAAATCACAAAGAACAGTAGCTGATGTGGCTGGAGGCAAAAAAAAGCTCAGTACTGCATATATATGTATACATCTACCACTGCAGAGGTGGGTTCCTACCGATTCAGCCTGGTTCAGCCAAGTAGGTAGTAACTCGGCCGGACATGCACCCAAACCAGTTCTATCCTCAGTGGTGCCATCTTTATTTTCTGTTCTGCACATGCACAGAACAATCTTCATTGAAAAATGTAATTTCCCCCCTTTTTTAATGTGTGCATGCACAGACCTTTTTAGGTGCAAATGCGCACGCACCAAATTGGTAGTAATGCCGGCAGGAACCCACCCCTGTACCACTGGTATGTGGAATGTCAGAAATGTGAATCAAGGCAAATTGGATGTTAAAGATGAAATGTAAAGACTGAACATTGACATCCTGGGAATCAACAAACTGAAATGGATGGGAATAGGTCATGTCATATCGCAAGAACAGCCAATCTTCCAATATAGATAAGAAAATCACAGAAGAAGTAGAATTGCAGTCATTACTAGCAAAAAGATGTTAATATTAGTGCTTGGATTCAAACAAACAAAGAAGGTAGAATAATCTCAATTTTAATCAACCAGTATTACAGTGATCCAGGTCAATGCTGCAGTCATAGAAAGAGAACAATTAGAGGTTAAATAGTGATTCTTTTATTATCTTAAGAGAATAACATCAAAAAGTGATGTACTAAGAACAGCAGATGGAGGCCTAAAACTGCAAGTAAAATGGTGAAATGAAGTACAGGTAGTCCTCAACTTACAACAGTTCATTTAGTGACCAGTCAGAGTTAAATATTCACTGAAAAAAGCAACTTGCCATGGTCACACGATCAAAATTCAGACAATTGGCAACTGACTCACATTTATGACTGTTACAGTGTCCCGGGATCGTGTGATCACTTTTTGTGGCCTTCTGAATCTGATATAACCAGATTCACTTAACAACCCTGTAAGTAACTTAACAACTGCCACGTTTCACTTAACAACTGTGGCAAGGAAGGTCATAAATCAGACAACCCACAACAAATATCTTGCTCAGCAATATAAATTTTTGGCTCAGTTGTGGTTATAAGTCGAGGACTACCTGTAACTGGACTAATAAAAGTTACCTTAATCCTAAATGTGAACTAAAGCAATGGATCCTAAAATGCAAAAAAGCAAAACAAAAAGCTAAATGGCTGCCGGCTGACATGCTGAAAATAACTGAAGAAAGGCCAGAAGCAAAAGGAAACAGGAAGTTTGCCCAACAACATTGCATTCCAGGGAACAGCCAGAAGAAACTAAGAGTTGCATTTAAATAAGGTGTAACTGAAAATAATAACCAAATGAGAATTGAGAATTGAAAGTAGAAATCCAGTGGCATTGGCACTTGGCTACAAAAGGGCTATCTATGGATTATAACAGAGAGTTAAGAAGAGTTCCTATTTCATTCTGCTTCTGCTTTGTACAATAGATTGCTAATCTCAGGTCACTTCCTTCTGCTTTGGTTCCCAGGCATGCATATGTACTCAGAATACATGATCTTTGACTCTCCTCCTGCTATGATGTCACTAGTTAGGTGCCAAGCTTTGCATTTACTGTAAATAAATGTCCCTTCTATGGAATATGGAGCACCAAAGATTCAAAATTAGAAAACTGGTGTGGCAAGGTTGCGTGATGTCTCTTATTTATTTCACTGACAGATAGAATATATCCTGAAAAATGCTGGACTAGAAGAAACAGAGACTGGAATTAAAGTACATACATACATACATACATACATACATACATACATACATACATACATACATACATACATACAT